ATTTGCTCTGGACAGCTGCCCACCCCCTCCTCCGGGGGCAGAGCTCAGGACACGTACTCCACGCCCTGCACGGTTGTCCGGCCCTTCGTACCAGCCCCTGTGCAGCCCTGTGCATGGGGGCAGAGGGCATGGGGCTTTCCCCCGTTACCTGCAGCATCGAGCAGGAGGCGCTGCCAGGGGGATCCCCCATCGCAGCGGCTACCCCCTCCGCACGTTGCGCCCAGTGCCAGCGTCCTTCTGAATCCTAAGCCACGCACCGTCACCCCTCATGGTCACAGACGATCCCGTGTTAACGTGCCATCTAATTGAAACCCTCATTTGGGAAACGATTATTTCTTGCTGCAGCAGCCCCTTGGGGTCCTTCTCTCCGCCATGCCCCCGGACAAGGGAAGAAAGGGCTCCGTGGAAGATAGCCCCTCCCGCCAGCCCGGCCCCACTGCACAGGGCTGGCCTCCTTCCAGGGCTGCCTTGACGCGTTTGATAAGCCAGAATCACTTCCAAGCAGTTTTCCGAGCTCGAGGAACGCACGAGTCATGAGCCTAAGTGGTTTCCTGGATCCCGTCCCGATGCTGATGGCGCAGGATTTTGGATCCCGCTGGCTCCCGGCCTGCCACCCCCAGCCCGGTCCCCCAGTAGCAGAGTGGGAGTCACGAGATGGGGGCGTGCAGCAAGGATGCCCAGGGGACTAAGCAGTGGCTGGCACAAATAAAGCAATAATTAATGGCAAGAAGTCAGCCTCTGAGTCGGGCTAACACTGGCCCCGAGGAGCCTGCATGGCAGAGCCCCCTGGGCCCAGCCAGCCGGGTGCGTGGGTGCTTGCCACACGCCCCTTGCCAGCAGCCGCGCTGCTCTGGTGCCCTGGGCAGCCAAGTTCCCTGTCTCCAGGGCTGACGGCTTCTGCGGTGAGGTCCTGAGCTGGACGGCTGCTTACTGGGAGTGCAGGATGGAGACCCCGTGCTGGGCTCTTTATGCCCCGTGGGGCAGGGGCTGCTGCTCACAAGCTCTCTCCCCTCTCATCCCATGGGCATTGGGCTGCACCAATGCCCGGTTGGCAGGCAGATGGCCCTCATGCAGCCATCACAGTGCACACAGCTGGCAATGCGGCAGGGCACATCCCCAGGGCTGGGGCGGGCACCTCTCCGCCAACCCAGTGCAGCCCAATCCCCCCAGGGCAAGAGGGAGGAAAGCTTGGGAGCAGCAGCCCCTGCACCATGGGGCACAGAGAGCCCAGCAAGGGCAGGAAGTCCCAGCAGCCCTGGGGGGTGCGGTGGGTGACTGGGCAGCACCAAGGGTGGGTGCTGTCCAGGCTGAGCTGTGCCCTGCCTGAGGCGGGGGAGCCCCGCACCTCATGGGGTGCAGCCTGGAGGGCAGGAGAAGGCCAAGGCGCCTGCTGGGGCTGAGGGGCTGCAGGAGCCCCTGGCAGTGCCCAGCCCATGGGGGCTGCACCGAGCAGCCTCCGGGCTCCAACCGCGGAGGGCGGGAAGCAGGCGGGAGCACCTCGCAGCACCTCCGGCAGGGCGGGCCGCGGCGGATAATTGCAGCCCTGTCCTGCATCGGGCCCCGCCGTGTTCCTGGCCCCTGCCTCGGCTCGTAAATCTCTCCAGGAGGCCGATAAATCAGAGCAGCCCCCAGCGGCGGGGGCATGCGGGGAGGAAGCCTCCAGCGCCCTAATTACAGGCAGCAGGGACCATCCAGGGCAGGAAGAAGCGGCTGCTCATGTCCGAGCCAGCACGTGGGGCTGTGCAGGACAGAGGTAAGAACGTAAGACTTGCCCTTGACGGATCAGCCCATAGGACCGTCAGTGCCCAGGCTCTCGCTCTGCAGGAAGCGACAGCAGGGTGTGGGGCTCGGGGATGCCCTGGGACCATGTCTCTGGTACGCATGGCAGGGGGGTTTCCCCAGGAACGGGCCTTGGAGTTTCCTGCCTCGGAGATGGGGTGTTGGCCACGACGCGCCCAGGGGGCCGTACTGGGGTGGGCACAGACAGCCCGTGAGCCCTGAGTGCCAGGTCCAGGGCAGGCAGCCGCAGGGGACCCACCTCCGCTCAGAGCTGCTTACTCAGCAGCCAGGAGACTCCCTGCAGCCCTGGGAAGAGGGATGTCCAAGAGGGAGAGGAGCAGAGGCTGCACTGGGAACGGCTCTGTGCCTTCTGGACCAGACAGGGCCTGGGAGACGCCTCGAATCACTGCAGGGACAGGGAAGCATTGTGACCCGGTGACACAGGTGGGGAAACTGAGGCACTGAACAAAGACGTGCTTTGCACCGTGTCACGCAACGAAGCTGCGGGAGCTGGGGATAGAAGCCCAGCGTCCTGGTTCCTGAGAGGGGCAGGGGGTGAAAAGCTTGCGGATGCACAGCCGCTCACGGCACGGCCTGCCCCCCACCTTCCTTGTCCACTACACCCTGCAGAGCCACCTCTGTCTACCCAGAAATGGGCCTGGCACCAGGAGTCCCCACTGACCATGGCAGGCGGTTCACCTGGGCCTGCGTGGCTCCGGCCGCTGGGCAGGGGGAGACCCCAGTCTGCGCCAGTGGGAAGGGCCGGTATGGGCGGGCCCAGGTGGGCGCTCATACATATTTGCAGCGTTTGCCTCCCTTTGAAGTCCCGCTGCCCCAGCCCCCTCCCTGCCCGAGGCCCCAGCCCCTGATTTATAGGGCTTCTCCAACGCAGGCCCCTAAATTAACTGTGGCTTCAAAGGGCCAGGAGGGGAGAAGGGCAATAGACAAATAGCCCCATGCTAATTGCTCGAGCTGTGCCAGAGCTGCGCTGATGCAGGGGGCCGGCCGCAGGGGCTGCACTCGGCCAGCAACCCTGGGCTTTGTCGGGTGGGGGCTGAGGCTGTTTGTCACACCGCTGCCCTGTGCCTGACGGGGTCCCGCAGCCGGACGCCAATTAAACTATTGGCGAGGGCAAGGGACTGTCAAGGCGATGGCAGGCCAGGCACCTGGAGGGTTATCTGACCTGCACTGATCACACAGAGTGGGCAACAAGCCTGCCAGGGCCCCGCCGACCAGGACAGCGCTCCCAAACTGCTCAGCCAACCGGGGTCCTGGTTTCTAAGGATAAGGGGGGTGCTCTGAGAGGGGAAGGAGCATGGACATCACCCCCAGGCTCCTTCTCTGCTCATCCAGCGGTGCTACAGGGTGGTGGCACAGAGTGGCCCAGCAGCGAACAGGCAGTGATGCCCCAGCAGGTCCCTGCCCCAGCACCTTGCAATGCCATGGCCTGGTGATGTAACGGGGCTGCTCTCCTGGCAGGGGAGAGGGGTGCTGCACCCACCATCAAGGCACAGGAGCAGAGAAGAGGGCAGATGTAGCCTGAAAAGAGGTATTGCCCAAGCCCCGGCTGGAGGCTGAACTGCAGGAGCACCAGGTTTGCACCCGGGGTCCCTGCAGGCCAGGTGCTTGGCGATCCAGAGCACCCAGCCCCAGGTCCCTGCAGCTGTGGTCGGTCATTTGTGGCATCCTGTGGCTCCCCGCAGTGCTGAGGCTGGGGCCTGGCCAGGACCCCGTGACACATCCACAGCGGCAGGCCTTCCCTGTGCCCTGCCTGGCCCAACAGGTAGGAGGGTGCGGGAACAATGGGTCTCTTTGAGCCTCTCTCCTCCCCAGCAGCTCTGTCTTCCCTGAATAAATCCTGGCCCAGACAGCTCTGCCCCCAGGTGCCTGCCCTGCCCCTGCTCTCCGGGGAGGGAGGGAGCACTTCAGTGCTTTTATCAGCTGCCCCATCCTCCTGCCACAGGCCTGCTTCCTG